GTTTCGAAGTACGCTTAAGGTATTTGGTGAAAAATATATTCTTAATTTATTTTTTTCAAAAATTATGAAACACGTTTTTACAACTTATATTTATCACTCTTGCTGGCCCGAGTGTTAGCGTGCGAGGAAGTAGGTGTAGGGGGTCTTAATGTGAGAAGACCGGAGTACCAGGAGGAACTCCACTTGATCTGGCTGGTAGTGGTCCTATGCAGCTTCCCAGGATTGTGTTGTCCTGCATGACGTCTCCTACGAACTGTGATAAGTATCCATTCCCTGAGATTGTTCGCCTGTGATAAGTATCCATTCCCTGAAATTGTTCGCCTGTGATAAGTATCCATTCCCTGAGATTGTTCGCCTGTTTCATGATGGCTACCATATTGTTGATAAAGTTATTAACAAATTCGCAGGCCCTCCATTTCAATGTGCCCTGCAGTAAGACCTCTTGGTTCCCGGTTGGCGGAGTGCAGAGTGCTTGACTTGAACTTTGACCTAACGTTTGACAAAGTTTGTTCGGGACATATCTTCTGTACTATTTCAGCCGGAGTAACCAGATTTGGTGTACAATGACTTCTTCGGAAGACTGAGTGCAGAGTGCAAGAATTAGGTCACTGTGACGTGCGACTTGACCTTTGACCTTCACGTTTGTTAACGTTTGTTCGGGGCATAATTTCTATACTATTTCACCTGGAGTAACCAGATTTGGTGTACAAGGACATCTTGGGCAGAGTGCAAGATGTAGATCACAATTGACCTCACTGTGACCAATGCTTCATGGTATAAGTGCACTGTTTGTTAAATATAGAAATCATTGTCGTGCAGTAGCCTTTTCTATGTGCCTTGGAATAACATACAATGAGTTGGGATTCTCTGTTATCCTTGTTTCTGTGACACAGAGCATCTCTAAGTCAAAGAGGTTTCCGCGTCCTTGTCAAAGTGATGCCACATATACAAATGTTCAGTAAAGACGTACTTTAGTGCAGTTGACATTGTTAGTTCAGTTGCAAGCGAGGACTTAAACAATCTTCGCCGGTAAATAAGATTTAAAAAGAAGCCACGGTTCTTTTTCCAAGTAGTTCATTATTTCTTTACATAAATCGTTCCTTTTTGTCGCTTAGTACTGCCTCTGGGCTCCGCGCAGTGCACATGTCCTCCGATCCGTGACTAAGTATACATTGTAACTTTAACTGGTGAGTGCTTCCCCAATGTCTTTCAATCTCAAACATACAAGTTTGTTTCTTTGCTGACATCAACGATTTGCGGGCAAACCTCTTACTCCTTTACAGATTCGACAATCGTCCTGGGTTTGGTTTACTATTAGGATTGTAGCCTCGCTTAAAACCTCCTTTATGTGGAAGTTTTCCATTTTTTCCTCCCACATTGTGATCTGGTCAGGTCTGTTGAGGTCAATTACTGTGTCGATTGTCCTTTTCTGATGCAATTCAAGAACAGTTGAGGTCTCCATCCAGCTAAGAGTACTATCTTGCTATTTAGATCAAGTGTGAACTTTAATTAGATTACAAGCTGAGTTGGTTTGCCTCTGAATTGCAGTTATACGTCTATGAGGCACATTTTGTCATGCAGCATTAGCTAATGGCGACGATTTAGATGTTCAAGAGATAGTATGACATGTTTAATATCTTTATTCAAGAGAATAGCCACACTCTCAACATCCATTTCCAATTATAATGGTGATAACGTCTTTGTCATCAACGCTCTTAGCGAAGTATAATTCTAATAAGGCAGAACTTCAATCAGTTCGCGGTGTTCAAAGTTATGTAACCAGTGTTCTTGGGTTACTTATTAATGGTGAGGTCTGCTTAAGTTTACATTTAGTTCTGGACATCCAGGGTCCCCATTTTCTTGGCTGTGGATAGGCAGGTATCCCAGAGCAGGTCGACAAGTAAGTCAGTGGCCCCGAGTTGAGTTAGGTGTGTAGTATTATTTATATGTTTGCATGTGTTCGAACGTCCTCGCAACAGCCAGTATAACATGAAGACGATTGCCTACGGATGTCTTCTAAGTAGAAGACACTAAAGAAACCCCGACCCTGCAGTGGCCACAGATCAGTCGCCTTGAATGGCATGCAGTGTGATACAGCAGGTCTACTTAACCTTGAACGTGTACAGGAGGCAAAGGGGCATGTTCACCATGGGGCGTCATATAGCTGTGGATTGGCGCTTCCAAATCTGGCTTTGCTTTTGTCGACGTGGGGTCCGTTGGGTGGATGGGCGGTACGTTATATGGACTGGGGATGTGTGATGTGTCTGTGAACTGACTCTTGTGCCGTGAATACTTCTCCATTGGATGTTCCGTCTTCAACTCGAACTTGTCCATGCGTATTTTATTATTTCTATTTGGATATGGTTTATTGTTGGCGTGGGAGTTGGCTTGCAGTTTTGGTACTATTGTACTACTGGGTGTTTATAGCTGTGCGCATAGTTAGAGCTTTCGTTGTTTGTGATAAGTCTTGATCTGTGACGTCATTTAGACCACGGGCACCTGTAGATCTATTTCAGGGTTTATTGCATACTTCCCACCTCTCACAATGAAAAACTGTGGGCAATAAATCACTTGCTACCACAGTCCACTGCACACATAATCCCCTTTCATGGCCAATCATGATTACATGACCATGAAAGGGGTGTGTCCAGTGGACTGTGGTCACAAATGCTGTAAGAAAGGGGAGATAATCAATCAGTAAAACAATACAGGGGAAAGGATAAACTTATATAAGTTGACACATTTAAAATAAGAAAAGAAGAAGTTAAAAATGGTAATTCATGATTGATAAACAAACAAAAAGATTTCCTTATCACGTGAGAGGATAAGCATTTCCTGAACAGTTTATAATCTTTAGAAGCTGTTCCTTTATACAAAATTGCACATTCAAATATACCATTAATGAAAGAACTGGAATTCCTTAGGGATTGTTAAACCCTTATATTGTATGCATGAAAATGGTTTTAATATCCTGTACCTTTGCCACATCTTGAAAATTAAACTGAAAATGTAGTCAGAAATTCAACATTGTTTTCCGTATTTTGTTCTAATTGTTGAACAGACACTCCTTACCTTCCCTGACACTGGAGCTGGATATAGTAATGCAAAATCTCTTGTATCCATTATGAAGGATACACTCAGACTGGGCTATTGAGAATAAAGACAATCTTACCTGGTTGTGATTATTACTCACACAGGTACATGTAAATTATCTGCAGTGTAGGGTAGATAAAAAGATTGTCCAGGTGAACATTTTTTACTCAATTTTTCTGTTTTGTACGAGTTGGGCAGCATGCAGTAAGCCAGTTATTGCATGATTTCTCGTCACTCGGGACTTATTACACCCTCGCTTCGCTCGGGTGTAATAAATTCCTTACTGCATACTTCCCACCTCTCACAATGGAAAACTGTGGGCAATAAATCACTTGCTACCACAGTCCACTGCACACATAATCCCCTTTTATGGCCAATCATGATTACATGACCATGAAAAGGGGTGTGTCCAGTGGACTGTGGTCACAAATGCTTTAAGAAAGGGGAGATAATCAATAAGAAGGTAACGATGAAGTCAATACAGTGGAAAGGATAAACTTAATTGACACATTTAAAATATGAAAAATAACAAAAATAAAGTTAAGAATGGTAAGTTCATGATTGAAAAACAAACAAACAAAACGACTGAGTTAGCAGCGTTATTGATTTCCTTATCACGTGAGAGGATAAGCATTTCCTGGAAAAGTTTATAAACTTTAGGAGCTGTTTCTTTATACAAAATTGTACATTCAAATATTCCATTCATTGAAAGAAATGGAGTTCCTTAGGGATTGATAAACCCTTACATTGTATGAATGAAAATGGTTTCAATATCCTGTACCTTTGCCACATCTTGAAAATTAAACTGAAAATGTAGTCAGAAATTCAACGTTGTTTCCCGTATTTTGTTCTAATTGTTGAACAGACACTCCTTACCTTCCCTGACACTGGAGGTGGATAGTAATCCAAAAACACTTGTATCCATTATGAAGGATACACTCCGACTGGGCTATTGAGAATAAAGACAAACTTACCTGGTTCTGATTAGTACTCACTCACACAGGTACATGGAAATTATCTGCAGTGTAGGGGAGATAAAAAGATTGTCCAGGTGAACATTTTTTACTCAATTTTTCTGTTTTGTACGAGTTGGGCAGCATGCAGTAAGCCAGTTATTGCACGATTTCTCGTCACTCGGGACTTACTACACCCTCGCTTCGCTCGGGTGTAATAAATACCTTGTTACTCGAAAACCATGCAATAACCTTTACTTACCTGGTTCTGATTAGTACTCACTCACACAGGTCCATGTAAATTATCTGCAGTGTAGGGTAGGTAAAAAGATTGTCCAGGTGAACATTTTTTACTCATTTTTTCTGTGTTGTTCGAGTTGGGAAGCATGCAGTAAGCCAGTTATTGCATGATTTCTCGTCACTCGGGACTTATTACAGCTCGCTTCGCTCGGGTGTAATAAATCCCTTGTTACTCGAAAACCATGCAATAACCTTTACATATCTTATAAACTTGCACTATAGAAAACCGATGAGAGTATTCAGCTTGTCCTCCACAGGTAAATTGTGTCTCCGTTTCTCTTATCAGTTGCACTAGCTACATAAATGACATCATACGAGATCCTTCCTAGAATATACATACATTTTATGATTATTGTTGCCTTCCCACGTACGCCACCATTGTCATTCCGAGTACCACTAGCACTAACGTACGTTAACTGTAGGTGTGTTTAAAAAACAGCATTTTGTCCGTAGACGTCTACAGCTGCGATTCTATTTTTGAAACATCTTCTGAACTAGCACGAGACGATAAAGACGTTTTTGAAGTGAGTAACAGTTTTTTCGAAAAAAAGATGAACAAACGAATTTTCAGAATCTTGCTTATTCCGGAATTATTGTCCCGTATTATATGCCGTTTCAGCCATTAGTAACGCCAGTCTTTTTTCTTCTCGACAGCATGGCAGACTATCTAATAACTGGCGGTGCTGGATACGTTCCTGACGATGGTTTAACCGGGGCTGGACTATTTGCAAATGGAGATGGAATGACATATAAGTAAGTTAACTATACAAAGATAACGGGGACTGTCTTCTGTGTCAAAGTCATTGTAATTTCGACCACTGTTTACCAAGTAACGTAATCTAAAAATACATTTCATTTTGTGCCCATGTTTTCTAACCAATCATTCACAATGTTATACGCTACAGTTATACTGAACGACGGGTATTACGTTACGTGAATAACTTAACATGTTCCATATATTTCCCATATTTCTAGGTAAATTTACCGGCGAGTCGTAACGTAAACAAAGTGTTCTGACTAAGCACGGGTGAATGCGTACGTTGCACTCCCTGAAGTATCTATTATGAGACAAACGGAATTCTGTAAATAGAAGTTCGTGTAACAAGAGGTTATAGGCCAATATGAACACGACATTGTTTCTGTTGGGTCAAAAGACATTACTTACTGTGTTAATTTTAGTTCAATTACTGTTCCTCTGTAATTGATCAGACTTCCACTGTGCAGTGGCGGATCCTGAGTTTTTTGGGAACTTAAAATTAAACTCACCACATATAAAATAACATGCATACAAAGCACTAGTCAGGCCAAAACTTAAATACTGCTCTTCCATTTGGGATCCACACAACACAAACCAAATTAAACAAATAGAAAAAAACACAACGAAGAGCAGCACGTTACGTACACAACAGATACCACAACACTAGTTCTGTAACAGACATGATCCACACACTACAATGGCCAACATTACAAACACAGCGCAGCTACACAAGAATTATCCTTTTTTACAAAATCATACACACAAATCGTAGCTTTAAACCCAACTCATATACTCACACCCGTAGACCCTCGCACCAGACATGCACACCCTCACGCATACAAACACATATCTGCAACAAAGGACACCTACAAATATTCATTCTTTCCACACACAATAACAACGGAATCTCCTTCCCAAAGCAGCAGTACAATGCACAACACTAGAGGACTTAAAGGCACAATTACCCTACACAGCCCTTGAAGCCCTCATCACACGCTAAACATATGCCAGATTTTATCTTTTTGTCTATACCTTGCACAAAAAAATCACAATAAACCCACCTAATCACTGTAAATAATCCCCTTTTTCACGCCTCTGCAACAGGACCCCCCCGAGGGCATAAACATCAAATTGATGGAGCCCCC